GAAGAAAGTTGGCGACAAGTTGATCCCCAAGACCGAAGACGAGTTTGATGCCGAGGACATCAAAAAGGTTGAGAATTATGCAAAGGCAATAAACATGCTTTATTGTGCTGTAAATCCTGATGACTACCGCAAGATCTCCTGCTGCTCAACCGCCAAGGAGATGTGGGATAAGCTCGAGGTGACGTACGAAGGAACGGACCAAGTACGTGAAGCCAAGATCGACTTCCTCACCCAAGAGTATGAGATGTTCAGGATGAAGGAGCATGAGAAGATTGACGACATGTTCGACCGTTTTTCCAAAATAGTCAACGATCTTCATGCATTAAAGAAGACTTACACCGACAGGGATCTTGTGCGAAAGATCCTACGAAGCTTGACATCCGAATGGCGATCCAAGGCCGATGTCATGAAGAAGTTTTGCACACTTCTAAAGAAGAAAGAAAAGGTTGAGGATGGCCCTGTGTGCTATGGATGTGGTGAAGCCGGGCACATCAAGAAAAAATGCCTGAAAAGCGGAAGGAATGCTCGGCACTTCAAAAGACAAAGGGCATATATCTCTTGGGGTGGCGACTCCGGCGACGAGTCAATCGACCAAGACGAGGATGAAGCTACCAACCTCTGTCTCATGGCACACGAAGACCAAACCGACGATGTACAAGAGGTATGTACCATTTCTTCCGACTCTTACACTTTTGAAGAAATGCAAGAAGCACTTCATGAACTTTATGATGAATTTGTTAGCGCTTCTAAAATCAACAAATTGTTAAAGAAACGCCTTTCCACTCTTGAAAATGATTTTGAAAAGCTAGAAAAAGATAATGAGAAGTTGAAACAAGAAAATAAATTTTATGGCAAAAGAAGCGCCCACAAACCGGAAAGTTCCTCAAACGAATGTGAATCTTGTAAAGCTTTAAAGGAACAAGTAACTAAACTTGAGAGTACGGTTAAGAAATTTAATACTCCGCACAAAGATCTTAATTTACACCTTGACACCATGCATTGTTCTAAAGAAGGAATAGGTTTTAATAAAAATGAAGCTAAGGATAAAAAAAACGTTGAACAAACACCTAGACAACCTCCTAAGGCTCAACGTTAGAAAGCTAAAAATCAAGTAAATAGAAAACCTAGTCAATCTAAGAACACTAGACAACCTAGACAAAAACCTAGGAATGAAAACGTTCATGGTAGACAACCTAAGAAAAATTATCAAAATGATTTTGTGCATAAAACTAATTTTTCTCAAAATAGAAGAGACAATATGAGAACACCTAGAAATGATCCTTTTGAAAACATGCATAAACCATCCTTTTCTCAAAATAGGACAAACATGGTTAGGCCCCCTAGCTATTATCAACCTAGACATATGTTCAACCCAAACGTAGTATGCCATTATTGCAATAGGGTAGGACATATAGCTCCCGTGTGTTTTACCAGACATAGGCACTTCACCTATAATGAAACACACAACATATTTAGTGCTAACGAAAAGAAATCCTATGGAAAAGGATATTCGTATCATAAACAATCTCCACAGGACAATGCACAAAAGAAACCATACTATTTCTTCTACTTTGATGAAAAGAAGAACGTCCACATTCCATTACCAGAACCAACACAAATCACACCGAGATATCGGCACTCCGTTCAGGTAGACTGGAACCCGCCAACCACGAGATCATGGGTTGGCCAAGGTAATTCCTAAACGATCATCTAATCGTGTGTGTGTGTGTGTGCGCACGCGTGTAAGGAAACGAATTTTGGGTGTGTGTGTGGGCAATAAAGGTTAACTAACCCCCAAGGACCCATAGACATACTTTGGGTACCAAAGCGTTGTTTTTTTGCAGGGATGGTTAGAAGTGAGAGAATCTGGAAGTCAGGGGGAACCAGCGATGAGTAGCTCATACCATCGCTGGGAAGGAAGTATTTTCTAACCAGCAGCCCTCTTCCCATCGATGGGAACTTCTTCCCATCGCTGGGTGTTTGACACTTTAAAAAAAAAAAAAAATTTTTAACGGATTTCGAGTAGCTGTCTTCCCATGGATGGGAGAACCTTACCATCGCTGGGAAGACTACCTTCACTTTTTCCTCCATTTCCAGTACCTGTCTTCCCATCGATGGGAGAACCTTACCATCGCTGGGAAGCATGTTGCAGTTCAAAAATCATAGACGATGGGCACATCATTCAATGCCTAACAGCTATATTTTTGAACACCAAGGGCCCAAATTCCCTTTTCCTAAATATTAACCATCCTTGGTCATTTTTAACACACAATTTACATTCCTTTTGCATACTTTAAGCCTCTACTCACTTTCTAAACGCTTCAACAATGGCTAGAGGAAAGTCGAGGACCAAAACCGAGGCTTCAAAGAAGAAGGCCCAACACCGACGCCACGACATCTTCTTTTTTTCTCCTTATTAAATATGATTGTATTTTTATCCGTTGTATTCCGCATTTCCCTTTTAATGAATAAAAATTTACTTTTAATTCTTTTTGTTAATGTCAAAAGGGGGAAGATATAAAGGTTATGCATAAATTGAGGGGGGACTTTTTCTAAAACTAACTCTTATTCAACACATAAACTTTGTTGAAAAGAAAATTGCATTTATTAAGGGGGAACATTTTTTAAGTCTTAAATCAATCCTCCTATGCATAACCCCGTCTTGTTTGCCATTATCAAAAAGGGGGAAATTGTTGAAACACGGGTTTATCGTGTTTTCGTACTAAAGTTGTGTTCGTTTTTATGACAGGTTTTGATAATGCCAAACCGCCGTGAACGAGACAAGTTGTTGAATATACAAGGCGAGAAATAAATATAAGAACAAAGCAAGAGAACAAGAGCTAAAAGAGACCAAGAACGAAGACCGTAGTCTTTAGCGTCGTTGAGTCGGTCACAATGTGATCAAGGCCGACCCAAGCTTTGCACTTTGGCTCTTTAGGCTAAAACATTTTTTATTGCCTTTTACATATCATCAAAATTATTTTCAAACATGCTTAAACATATTAAAAACACTTGGTGTTCGCCCAAACCAAAAACCAAGCCATCCAGGGTTCGGCTTTCGGAAACCAGCGTTCGGCATTCGGTTATCAGCATTGGTTTTTGGCGTCCGAACCAACCAAGTGGTTTTCAACTTTTTATGATTGATTTTTACTTCTGGGAACATTTAAATCGTTTTCCATAAAAAACACTTCAAAAACCACCTTTCGTTTTTTGTCGTTTGATAAAAACCATGCGAAACGGCATAAAGTTGGCTAGCCGTGGTTTTTACTTAAATGAAGTGGTTTTTGAGTCTTTTTGTGTGGGAATTGTTTTTGAATGCATTTTAATGGTTCTCCAATCAAAACATCATGAAAACCACCTTTCGGTTTTGTCTTTTGGTAAAAACCACCCGTGTACGGCATTGACTTGGTCAACCGTGGTTTTTACCTTAACAACGTGGTTATCAACTTAAAAAGCTTGTTTTGACATCAAAATACATTAAATAAGTGTTTTATATACTTAGTTTTTACTTTGGAGAACTTTGCATTTTTCGGTCGGGTTTTAGTGCCGGTGAGCTAGGCCATGGTTCTGGGCTAGCCATCTACCCAGCGATGGTAGATATCACCCATCCATGGGTAAGTGATCCCGGGATTGCAGAATCATTCCACCCAGCGATGGGAGATATTACCCAGCGATGGGTAAGCAGCCTTTAGCCCAATTGAATTCCAGAACCATGCCAAACAGCGATGGGAAACTTTACCCATCGCTGTTTAAGCCTTGGTCCAACATTTTCACAAGGCAGAGTGTCCTTACCCAGCGATGGGAACGTTTACCCATCGATGGGAACCCAGCGATGGGAGGGCATACCCATGGCTGGTTAGGCATGACCGTTGCAAGTCATTTAAGGCTGATTCTTTCCTTGTTTGAAAGTCAACCTCCCACCCAGCGATGGGAAGCATTTACCCATCGATGGGTAGGTGACCGTTGGCTTCAAAACTGAAGGAAAATTGGCTTGAGCATACTTAGTTTACTCATCATCTACTCTTAAAGAGAGTCTTGTTCTTGAGTGTTTAGTGTTGTATACACGTTAAGGGAAGCTTGTTTCCCTTGGTTGTACGAAGGAAAGGTGTTTTTCCTTCGGGTTGAAGTCTTGGAGTGCGGTATCTCCGAGCAAGTGTTGTTGAGGCTCGTGGGACTCGAGTTCTCATGTTGTAACGGTTTGTTAACACCCGTAAGCTTAACGGAAGTAGTGTAGCTTGAGAGAGTCTCTCAGGGGACTGGATTAGCCACACGTTGTGGTGAACCAGTATAAATCTTGGTGTGCTCACTTTACGCTTTCTACACTCTTTACCTTTCACGTTCTTAATTTTTTATTCCTGCGATTTCTACGATCAAATGCTATTCACCCCTCCTCTAGCGTTGGCCACTTATTCTAACACACTTGAGGCGATCTAAGAAACCAAATTGCCATGGCTGGTATAATGGTGGTTAGTAAGGTAACCCAACGCCAAGTTACGTTCCGTTTCTTCACTGCCTCAAACAAACAAACCCTAAAAATCACTGTAACAGAATTGGGAAGCCTAAATATCAGTGCCTAAAACCGTTTTAGCTCAGATTTAAAATCCAGTGTTGGGCTTGAGTCATATCAGAAAAGAATTCCCCATGGCTGCATTGGCGGTTAAATCCATAATGCCATGCCAAGATACGTTTGTTTCTTATATGAACAAGGGCTAAAAATCTCATAAACGGATTTCGTTTCTTCAAAATCATCACAGCCATAAACTCATTCACACTGGAGTAAAATGGATACATTTCGAGCTATGTTCGTTTGAGGCATTGAAGAAACCGACGTAATATGGCGTGGCGTTACCGAATTAACCACCGTTGTAGCTCAAATTTGAAATTGGTTTTGTGCTTGAGTTATTAGAAACGAATTCGCCATGGCTGCAACAACGTTTAATTCCGTAGTGCCACACCAAGATACCTTCATTCCTACGATGCCTCAAACTTAAAGAGACTAAATATCTCATAAACAGATTTTGTTTCTTCAAAATCATCACAGCCTTAAACTCATACACAGACCCACGTGAATGGCTATATTTCAAGAAATTTAAGAAACTAAATCGCAATGGAGTCTACAATGGTGCTTAATTGCGTAACACCGCGACATATTACATTGGTTTCTTAAATTGCCTGAAATGAACAAAGCCTGAAAATCAGAGAAACATATTTCATTACTTCAAAATCATCATATGCCATACAATATTTACTCACACCAGCACGAAATTCAGACGCTTGAGGCAATGAAAGAAACCAAATCGCCATGGCTGCTTCAATTCTTCAATGCCTCAAACTGTAAAAACCTAAAAATCAAAGTAATTAATTTCATTGTTATTAGTAATAATATTAGTATTTTAGTTAAGTCCTGAGAATATGGCAGGCTCTGATTTGGCCATTAATATGGGTGATTTAGGCATGAATATGGGAGATTTAGTTTCCTTATATTAGCACCCTTCTTATGTATATATAGTCATTTTGTATTATGTAATTATGTATTATGAGGAAAACCTCTGATTATCAATCACATGGTATCAGAGCCAGTGTGCTCTAGGGTTAGGGTTCATCGTTTGTAAAAAAAAGGCTTCTGCCATTTTGACGCTGTCTCTAAGGGTGCTTGCCTGACGTCACTGCCACCGGGGTGGAGTCGCGTTGCAGGAGAACAATTCTGGAGAATCTCTCCTTCGTTGGAGACCTCACGCCCCGCCACTGCTGGTCAGATCCACTGTCAAAAATAACTGTTAGGGTCGCCTGAGTCATCTAAGCACCTGTACAGACTCAGTTTGGACATTCAGTGGGTGATTTTTGCTCTGTCTTCCTCTGCCAATCAGGTTTTGTTCAAATTTTAGTTCATTGAAATGGGTGATAAGTCTAGTGTCATCACTGAAGTTTTTCGAGTCATGTCAAAAATCATAGAGAGGAAACTTAATTCCTCTAATTATCTTGAATGGGTCATGACTATTAAACTATATCTCCGAAGTACTGACAAGGACGATCATATGACTGATGATCCTCCTAAGGATGCAACTACTAAGAAAGTCTGGTTGAGGGATGATGCTCGACTATTCCTCCAAATCCGGAACTCAATTGATGGATGTTTTGCGTCCGCGGTAAAGGATGCCCGTCAGTGCTTGCGGATTGTGGATTTGAGCACCCGTGGCGCACACGGAAAGTGCGTATGCATGGTACCGTCATAAAATCGGTGCCCTCGTTGGGAGGCTGGGTGGGGCCCGACGAGGTTTCTTCCGCCTGCGTCAGTGCTTGCGCGTGAGGTTAGAGCACCCGCTATCTGTCGGCGGTAATGGGCTAAGGGTTGGCCACTGACCCATAGTGGTACCTCTTCCTTCCTTCTCCATTTCTCTTGGGATTTCCCCTCTTGGAATCTCTTCACTTTTCATCTTCATCATTGTGGATTTGGACTTTCTTGAGACTGCTTCACTGGTTATTTTCTTGGATTTTGGACTTTCTTGGATTTCTACTCGGCTGGACTACTTGGATTTGGTTGGGTTGAGACTTCTAGTTGGGCCGTGGCATTGGTGTTGGGCTTCGGGCTTCACGGATGGGCTGCTCACCTTGGCGGATTGGACCGATTCACTTGGGCTGGTCGCTGATGGCTGGACGGCCTGGTGCTGGGCTTGGGCTGATTTGGACGGGCGCTGGGCACGGGGCTTGGACTGGCCAG